GCCACAAAAAGGGTATTTGTGATCGCTGGATTTGATCGATAGATGTTTTAGCTGGTTACAATCATGTAAACTGCAGAACGGTTCTTCCGCCATAAATTTGTAGGCGGGTGTCGAATCCCCGGTCTATGCGACTTCTCAGGACTGTGGGGGCCGAATGATCAGCGGAAGGAGGCCAACCTACAGGACTGTACTCAGGGCTAGCACATTTCTATGCAGCGTCTGCCGAACATTTCAACCGAAATACTGCTTTAGAGACCCAACGATGTAAGTCTACAATCTTTTGAACGTTTATTTAAGACCTGTATGTTACATTGTGTTACTGGAAATGTGTGATATTTCTAAAGACATTCATGAAGTGAGATCGTTACCTCATGGTTACAAATAGTTTCACAGTTACTTTCACAGTGTCTGTATTGCTTTTATGTTATAGAATTCACCGTGTTTTAAATAAATCTGACCTAAACCGACGCACTGGGGGGTTATTATTTGAGCATGGTTGACACTAGTATGGGTATACTAGACGCAGTTTGACCCCAGAACATTACTATTCCAAGACTATTTATAAATACAAGAAATGTTTAAGTATATATGATATTCAACTATTATCTGGCATTTCATTACTGTTTAGAAGTATATAAATATTGTTTTGTGAAAGATTATTATATGTACTTTATTGAATATAGTATCATATAAAATGTGAATTATACTCGTGTTGGGTGAGATTAAACATGGAGACACGTGATAGATTTTTGAACGAATAATTTGTGAGCTGAAATGAAGTTTCTTTCATCGTCACATATTAATAAAGCTACAACGCAACACACTCCTCGCTGAAGCGAATCTGGTCTCTGTAACGTGATACCGTACCTTTCAGAGTAATTATTGAAATTTCGTGGAATATAAATTTTCATAGTTTATATATTTCCTTCGATAACCGAAGGTATTACACGTGTTCATGTACGTACCCATTGCTTGGAAGTAGCAGTTCTGTAGTTCGTATGGTAGACAATAGGATGCGTTGCCTGCAAGTGTAAATAACGTTGATGAAGATCGATCGCAAAATGTGGCATTCTACACAATTCGGTGATACATGCGCAGCTCAACTGAGATCGAAACACTGCTACAAGAATAAAATTGGATCCTAAAGAGTTTACGTAACAATGTTTCTACCTAGTGACAAACCAATAAACACAAACCGGTATACATTGCGTTTGTTGCAAACTAACTTGTTTTCCCGGTTGGAAATTAAATCGAACAAACCACATATTTATAAATATGACGCTGATGTGTCCTTACCTGGCATGTAGAAATATCTACATCCGCATTGTTCCACGACGTATCTTGTCTCACACTCCATCCAGCATTTAGATAGTGAGTATGATCCGTTGAAAAACTCTAGTTCATTATGTATGTCTTTCACGCAGTCGCTGTGCGGACTTCCGAGGTTTTTTGTCTGAGCATAGAAAAACAATAGACTTCACACATGTAAATATCAACATGGATGTGTCACTCCGTCCAATACCATTACGGATGATGTTGTCGGAGTGATGTTTACGTGGGAATTATATAAACTTAACCACCAATGCAATACAGATTTCAAAGATTAGTCTGATACCATTGATTCATGTGAAATATTTTAACAAATTTCTATGGGATTATTAGCAATGAACAATAACACTTAGCTGAGAGAATAGACCACAATACATTTTTGTTGAAATCAAAAATGGCTGCCACAAATATTATCACAACCACCAGCGACTTTCAAAACATTTTATTGACGCAAACCTAATTTAAAACAATCATACCTGGATATCACTTATTCTAAAAACAATAACTTTAAAAAAAGCATTTTCAATTTACCGAGACTTGGCTTGTTGCGTCGCTACAGTGTTTAAAAGTCGCGACTCTCTGTTATGTAATGTCCACTTACCACGGTTTTTGTTATGGCAATACTTGTTGTGGTTCCTGGTGATACGGACAACCCTTGGTTTGAAACATCCGGGACCTCATCCTGTCCGTGTATCATCAGACGAAACCCTACCGTGGTACGAGGTGCAAAATACTCCTTCTCGTCTGCGTTCAAATAGAGACTAAGTCCGTACCTTTCACCTGTAACCGTAAAATGGGGAAGTCAGTTAGATCGGAGAAGTAAAATACATGAAAGGAAATACGATATCACGCTAAAATGCCGTGTCCTTACCTTCGTTCCTGGTGGTCAAGGCGTCTTGGATGTTGGCGTTGAAAGTGTAACAAACACCATAGTTTGTGACCGTTTGAGTGAAGTTGTCAGGTCCACATTCGACACCTCCAAATGAACACCTGAACGGGATGGGTGCAAAGTAAAAATGATGAAAAGAATGTCGATAGTATATTTAAAAAGAAGATAACCATGCAGTTCGATCTTGTTTCGAGTAATATAAAAAGACACAAGTTCTATTCACGACATATGCGTGGCATGGAATCCATATTGTTAACTGCACGTTACATCGACCGGCCCTTGAACGATAGTTATGTTATCGCTAGCAAATCACCGTTCGATTATATGAAGAAATAAATGTTGAGTTTGAGTGAGTCTCCCAAATCATCGTGTATATCGTTATAAGTCACATTCTTGTTGAATAAGAAAAAGAAAAAAGCCAAACATTGCGGTCAGTGCGACAATGATATGTTCAGTTTGCTTCGATGAATAGTGATGATTATCGGGAAAGGTGACAGCATAGAAAGCTAACTATAAACGAACCGGTTCAGAGGCACCGGTAATTGTATAGAAACACGGGCGTTCGATTTTCCGCCCCACCAACAGGATTAGAGTTTGGATTACGCCCTCAGCAGGTTAGTCTAACCTTTTTGATGACGCAAAAGTTATACTGATTTGAAGCTACCAAATGACGTAGAACGCTGGGTTTGGTCGTTTAAGCCGAAATTACACGAACTAAACCGAACGACCTTAGAGCCCAGCAAATGTTTTGTGACGTCCGACTATAATAGTCTAAAAACAAACTTATGATTTATCATAACAAGTTGCTGAAATTAACCGTTTAGTTTTCTAACAGTTTTTATCTATGATTTACCACCTTCGCAATGTTTTTACAAGGCGTTATTTGACTCGATGTAGCATTGAATTCGGGTAGCGTAAAGTTTGCCGTTGGCTGACCGTGTACCGTAAATGCATAAGCAAATACGAGTGATGAATATCACGGGGGAAATTCTTCTCCTCTGGGGTTCTCCACATGTGTCAGGGGGGAATCTCGTCTCTGTCTCTATATCTCGTCCCCTTGAGGTACGGGATCGGGAACGTCACTTAAACTTTACAGTCAAATAGACACACACAACAAACTACGTTTCAATTCTCGTCTTTAGTCGGCCAGTCGAGCACTTTATAAGACACAGCGCCCTGGGGAAAAGTCCCTAAGACTATCGAACGGTTGACCCAAGACTGCCTCTAGACTGCGTCTCTCCTGGTGTTCTCGCCAAGACCAACCACAGTCCCTATATCATAGATAGAGGGACTGTGGACCAACTAAACAACTTTATTCACTGTTAAAACCTTAACCAATTAAAAAGCAGTTAAAAGACTCTAATGCGTAACCTTCACACATTCAACCAATCACACTAAGTACTGAAAACGTCATATCTTTTAATTAATCGTTCACTACATTAGTAACTGCGAATACCAACTGTCAGAAATAGTAGTCCGAATAGCGACGGTTATATCGTAATTAGTTCCAAATCACTGAGTCGAGTTCCGTCCAGAACCTCGCATGAGCCTAAACGATGACAGATATAACACAGCCATTCGCTAGTAATCAACTAAATAAGTCGATCAACAGATACACGCAAATAAATTCATCACATAAGCATCGGGGATTTGATAGAGGGTACTGGTTAAATTATACAATATTTGCATATTCATAATGCGTGTCAAATTCTTGTCGATTACTGCTTCAACGTGTAGGCTCGTTCGCTGTCTTTTTTTTATGACTCTTACCGTATCTTTTGCAAGACATTGCGGTGTTCAAAATCAGTCAGCCAGTAAGTTGCGAATGACAGAACAGTGACGCATGTCGAACAAAAAATATCACGTTACCCCGAACCCTGCAGACAGCTACTGAGCTGTGACACCGATGGTTCACTGAATCGAACATGTGAGTATGCGAATCAGTGCGTGTATTACGCCCTCAATACTTACCTTTCAATCATTTCACTGGCGGAGTGGCTGTTGCTAATCATAAATTCGTACAACGTTAGACCCCCTGTACCATAACCTGCGTCAACTGGGATGATGTATTCTTCTTCATAAATGTTCACGCCATCCATTGGAAACAAAGCGAGTATGTATGGGAACGCTGCAGAGAAGTCGGTCATCCCGCCGGATATTACGACCAATTTCGCAAGCCTTGTAGACAAAATGAGTATTTTTGAACAATTGGTTAACGATCAATGCAAAGCAAACGTGGTTTGTTAAATCACAACCTTTGAACAATTGTTTTTTTTTTTTTAATTCTTCCCTTCGTTATTATTAGCATTTTGATCACTGTAATAAAGCTTAGATTAGTTCAGTATACTTTGTGTACGTAAATTAATAATAACTGTTGTAATACTTTGAGCATGCAGCGTGGTGACTAATTTATCGATGTATTAAAAGAAATCATCGCACATGGCACAATAATATATGCAATAATATCGTCTTGTTAACGTTTCACTCTGTGCGATTTATATTTGTATTGAGATGTGTTAAATGACTTACATAAACATGTTGTTGTTGCAAATTGTCACAGCTGGGAATTTGGTCTCTGGAGGTTCTTCGAATCTAATATTCACATTAACGGGACGTTGAGAAAATGCCGAAGACATCTTACCGACCTGGTAAAGCAAACCAATCAAGGCTCCCAGTACTATCGCTAGCCACACAAGCCTGGAAAAGACCGTGAACAAAGTATGAATGCATGGTTACGATTGCGGTAAAGAACCCAAACTACCGTGGGTTAAAGCCAGAGGGTTGTTACCTGCGCACGCGCGGGAATTGAGTTCTAAGCGACGATAACAACACACGTTAAAAACGCAAACGCTCATGGGTAGACGCTTGTTTGTAGCAATGACACGCTATGGCCACCTGACGCATGCGCAGGTGACGACTCCCCCGCTTTAAGTGATTACAGGTTACCCGTTAGTGTTGGTTTCGGGTCACGCATGGCGACTATTATCAATAACTAGTCATTGACCATACATTATTTACCTCAAACAAAAAACCTCAAACCTCAAAAAAGGGCGGTAGTCATCGTGCCACGCATGCGCGATATATATGAGTCTCATATAAATAAAGATGGCAAATCAACGAGTACAAAACGTTATAAAGCTTTAATTAGGTATTTTTAGGTAATTGGAAACTGTCGAAGGAGTCGTCGCCGGTAATTAGTGCAAGTCACGCCCAGGTTATACTCGTGATTTCCAGATGAAGAGCGCACTTGATTGTGGAAAAAACAATGTTTATCAACAAAAGTGTCGTACATGCGCAGTGCGACGACTGCCTCCCTTTAAAAAACATGTCCTACATACTGACATAATACAGTTTGCGTGTTTGTAGTGTGCGTGATATTCACATTCACACCTGTTGATGGGCTGTTACTGTGAAAACTTTACTTAATACTATGATACATGATTATATTACTTAGAATTTAAATTCACAGATTTTCGAAATAGTTCTATAACGTAACAATACATTTTAATATGAATTTAATATACAGAAATTTGCTTTTCAGTGAAAATATCTAAATTGAAAGTTGCGAAAAATAATTGACCTTACAGTATCAATTCAAGTTAGTATTACTACTTTTTGCTTATCAATAACGATCACTTTTCGTTCAGCATCTACTAAGAAAGTAATTCTTCATTGTACCCAATAACACCAGCTTATCCAGAAAGTATTTCTTCGTTGTTCAAACCCCTCCCCGTTTGCAAGTGTCTCTGTTTATTGTGTTTTTTTTTAAACAGCGTTGTTTTCACATGACTTACGTGGAGAGTGTATTTTTCCCTCACTATTTGCAAACGGGATATTTTTTCACTGTAACGCCTTTAAATCTAACCAGATCGATGAGAAATGCGGATGCATGTTCACTGTTGTGGTTAAATGCATCATTTAGTTCATTATTACCCCCATATGAATTATTGTTGTCGTTTCTTTTATACTAAGGAAGTTACATTACACACGCACGCAAGGAAAACGCACAATAGCACAACGCGATACAGGCCCGTAGTTTTTTTTTTTTTGGGGGGGGGGGGTTCGACCTAAATTTTGGAAATGAATAGATTTATAATCGTAGATTAGAACATAATAAAACAAACAATATTAATTAAAATAATCATCATCATCGTTTAAATCACTTGACTCAGTGAGGTAACTATCAGAGTAATGTAATGAATAATGCATAGTAATGAGCATTTAGGTGACAACGAGCTTTAAATGTCAATCGTGAAGTTACGCCGTCTCAGTTCAACAGCTGCCAATCAAAATAGATTGTTATAAATGGAAAGCTTTTATTCGGTGATTCCGCGATGGTGTAATGAAGGTCGCGTTCAAGCAGCTGATGTTAAATATTTAAACAACATTGAAACAATAATGTAATGGTAGTCACTCTCTGAAGGATGTGGTGGCCCTGAATAGGTCCGTTTGTATTGTGCTAGTGTTCGCTCAGTTAGTAAAGTGTGGGGTTCGAACGGGATTGAGACGGCAACACGACACTGTACTTTCATATTGGTTCATTAGTTTTGTATTCTTCAAGTTAATGATGGCATATATACTGTTTTGTTCTGAGTGTATCAGCCAAATGTAGTCAACTTATTGTATTAGTACGTGTAGCCTATGTTATTGGACATAGTGTACAGCTAAGGGTTGACAACATCATTAAAAAAATGACGAAGATTTATCATCACGAGTTGTATAGGTTGAAGAGCTTCTTGCAGCCAAAAATTTATCCCACAGTGTTGCTTCAGCACTGAAACTATGCGATAAATTATATTTTTCAAACATATTTTTTTTACATGTTTTTTTTTTTTGATGTCTTAGAAAAATGTTTATATTTTTAGTGGGTTCATAAAAAGGAGATGTAGTCATTGAAGTTTATTGAGACCGCTGCTAAACTGCTACTATATGCATATTATTTTACCACCCTCTAAAAACAGATTTACAGTAAACCAACAAATTTACGTACGTAAGAAACTTGGTAGTATGCCATTGGTTAGTGCATTTAATTTGTTTGATGCAATCATTGTACCAGCTATTTCTTATGGTAGCGATATGGGGGTACCACAATTTTGAAATCGAGAGGGTACAGACAACATTTCGCAGATTTCTACTTAGCATTAATAGTTGTACAAACATTGTAGCGATGTTGGACGAATGTGGAAGGCTGCCATTATGCTGTGGTTATTCCAAGCGTTGTATCTTATAGTGGTTAAAATTAAATAATAAATAGCTGGAACCCCAAAACATGTTATATCATGCTTAAACGATTAAACAAGACCGGCAGACTTACTTGGGAAACCCACATAAAAATCTTCTGTTCAAATATGGTTTCGGCATTGCCTGGTTTGAAAAACAAGTTGCAGATACTGCAAATTTCTTAGGAATATTTACTCAAAGAATAACAAAATTGTTGTCAGCAAGAATGGCATGCCTCAATTTCACAATCATCCAGGCTGTGTACTTTCGAAAAAATCAATGTAGTATTATAACCTAGGAGATTTATTGGCAAGCAATTATAGACTAAAATTTATACAGACGAGTTTTCGCTTTTTTGACCATAAACATAATGTTGAATTAGGCAGACACACAAAAATACAGTTAGATCAATACATTTTTAGTTTTTGCAGTGATACGTTTGAATTTAGCATGATAGAAAATAAAATTCACTTTTTTTTATATGTTCATTTTATAATGATTTAAGGGCTGACCTTTTGTCAATAATTGTATTCAATTATGCAAATACTGACAGTCTGGGCTTACTTCGTCGCTACACAAACTGCCACACCATATATCAACTAGCTTTGTATATTTTAAAAGTTTTCAAGCGACGAGATAAATATTAATCCAGCTT